TGAGGGATAATAAGGTAGGAGAGAAAGTTACTCATAATTTATTATGTAGACTTCCTCCCATTGAATCTTGACACAACTACACGTGAGGAATCATAGAATGTACTCAGATTCTTACTTGATTGGTTTGGGGTTTTGCTTTGTTACCAGATCTTAGATGATAAAATTAAAATTCTGTGCTTCAGTATATTGTCCTAGGAAATTAACGGATTAACATTTCAATTCACTCCATGTGTTTCTTAGCAGTTAAAAAACAAACTTTAGTTTTTTCATTTTTCTTTATCTTTCTTTCCATTTTCTTTTCTTTTATCATCTTTTTTAAAAATTTTTTTGAGAAGTGATTTCACTATGTAACCCAGGGTGGCCTTAAACTCACTACCCAAGCCAGGCTTGCTTAGAATTGATAGTGATTTACTTGCCCCAGCCTTCCAATTGCTGGCTGGGATTATAGGCATGTGCCACCACGCCCGCCTGGTGTTTTCACTTTTAAAATTGTTATGAGGAAACCCTAATCTGATTTTACATTTTTAATCATAGCATTTAAAAATAGTCAAGTTTCTGATATCTATAAGACCTATTTCTCTCTGTAGAAGTGTCTGCCCATTTCCTTTTACTGTTTCAACAAAGTGTTATTTTAACTTTGTTTTTCAATAACAATCTCTGTGCAAGTGAACTGGTGCTGGGTACTAATTCTGTGATCATGTCATTTGAGACTGATTTCCTTAAGTTCTATTGCTTGAAATAAAATACAAGGGCTGGGGAGATGACTCAGTGGAATAAGTGCTTCCCTGTCAAGCACAAGGGCTTGAGTTCAATCCCTGGTTCTGAAAAAAAAAAGAAGGAAGGAAGGAAGGAAGGAAGGAAGGAAAGAAAGAAGGAAAGAAAGAAAGAAAGAAAGAAAGAAAGAAAGAAAGAAAGAAGAAAGAAAAAAGAAAGAAAAAAGAAAGAAAGAAAGAAAGAAAGAAAGAAAGAAAGAAAGAAAGAAAGAAAGAAAATGCTCACAAGTCAACCTATGCTTTGATCTCCTTGCCATGTGTAGTTTAAGGTCTAAGAAGTTAAGGTTTACTTATATAAGCTCATGACACTAAATAAATAAAATGTTTTTCAATCCATTTCAGGATCAGAAAGTCCTCTTTTCTAATTATGCCACATGAATCATCAATGTGCTTGATGAAGAAGTATGTAGCTCTTTTTGGGTCTATATTTGTCAATGCCAATATTAACGTAATGAAGTATCTTAATCTGCATCTACTTTTATATATGTATAATAAGAGTATGCTCACGAGACAGTATACGTATGGTATACATTGCCTTAATGTTGAAAAGTTTTTATACCTGAGAATCTCAGATACTATTCAAATGCAAAAAAGGCAGCTCTATTAACAGATTTAAATTTAGTAGCACAACTAGCAGTACACCACACGGTGGAGTCAGACAGCCACAAATCTGTGTGACTTGTATTTGACAAAAAATGTAAGCACATATTTAAGAGTAATAAATATGGTAATATCTCTCATTTTTTCCTGCTTTTCAGTGACAAATTAAAATAACTATATAATTTATCGAAATGGAAAGGAAACACCAGTAACCCTTAACTAAGCAGTGAATTTTTATCCACATTTTAAAAGTACACTTATTTTTATTAATATAAAGCATTACCATTTCTCCCTATGTGCAAGTTCACACATATGCACGCACACGTGCACACACATGCACACACACACACACACACACACACACACACACAGATGAAAGTGACATTCCAATGGCATTCTAAGGGGTCTTATGTCTAACACAGTGATTAGACTCTGTATTTCACAGACATCCTCTCTCCTCTCTATTTCTTTCTATGGGAGTTCAAAATGAGCTTTAAGAAATGTAATCCTTGAAGTAAATCTGAGGACTTGATAATAATTCTGCTCCCAAAACCAATTCATTTGTTGTCATCTTAAAATATTCAGACAAGAAGAATATTTGAATTGCTTTCAGGTAGCTTGCATTTTCCAGAATTACAAATTAGCACTAGGGGTATTGCATGTCAGGAAATACAGTAACTTGAAAATACAAGTGCAGTCAGAGTACAAAGAGAATGGATCTGAGCGTTGTAGCACTCTAGTCTATTCCTCTGTACACAGTTCAAATACCTTGTTTTACCTGTGTGCTGTTATTTGCAAGTACTTTTTAAGCTACAGTTAATGATATTTTATTATAGTTTTATTTAAGAATGCCAAACAATGCATATATTAAAAGCTAAAATATAGTATTTATGTTCATAGGGCCCTATGTTCACATAGAAATAAATGCAGAATTCTAAACTACCTTTTCAAGAATTTCTATTTTTTTTCTTCTAAGACAGTAATAGCTTCACTCTGTCTCAATTTTTCTCCTTTAGTTTCATTCTACAAGCCTCAAAATGAACTCTTTTATAATTGTCAACATTAGTGTTTGTGCTATCAAAATTGTTAAACCCTGGAACAAGAAAATATCACTAAAATTTAAAAAGTAGAACTACTACTCTATAGCCCTGCAGTTATTCTCAATTCAATAACGATTTCTTATCCATATCAAATATTTCATTAAGACCTGACTATGGCAACTTGTAGATAAGCCCAACTGAGAAGGTCCTAGGAATACACCGTATTACAGAAATTACACAGACTTATATAAATTTTTTCAAATGTACATATAAGGACTGGACAGATATCTGAGGCATCTAAACACCTGCTTGGAAAGTGTAAGGAACCAAGTTCGATCCCCAGTACCATATATCCTGTTGGCCCCCACCGGGGTGCACCAAGCTGGCCACCCAGACTGAATGTGGTGGTGCACACCTGTAAGCCCAGTGCTAGGAAGGCAGAAACATGAGAATCACTATGAGTCTGAGCTGCACAGTGAGACCCTGTACCAAATAGATAGATTAAAAAATAAAATAAAATAAAAATGTACATAAAAGAGAAGCTGAGATCCTAGAATATGCTTGCTGTCATCCTACATTTCTATTACTGTATTTATACATGCTATCCCAGGGAAAACAATTGAAAACATTTTTTTTTTAATCAGGGATCCCCAAATTGCCCTTTCTTCATCCTCCATGGCAATGACATTCACCCCATGAATAATTCTCCTGCTCTGCACTGTATGAGCTTATGCAAACTACTTCTACCAATGCTCTTTTTTCTCTAACTTTTGTCTGCAAGCTTAGGTTGTTAACCATCCAGAAGAGAAGCTTATTATTATTACCATACAACTTAGGCTGTTAAGCTTAACCTCACTATTTGTCTGAATATCAAACATCTTAGGCATATCATGGAACAGGTATTTTTCATCAAGTATTGATATGTTGAACTTTATGGCCCTACAGAATACGAAAAAAACATTTAAAAATTAGAATATATTTTAACATAGGCATAAAGAATTATATACTTCTTATGTTTACATATAAGTCCAAAAATCTCACCATATGCAACCTTGAAGCAGGACAGACCCACAATATTCCTTTTCCTGTCTCTTGCTTTCATTCACCACCCCCTTCTTTTTGAACAACCATCTACCTGAGAGACAGTACAGCAGGAAATGGCATGTCATGACAAGCAGCCCATATTCAGAAGACCAGAATGACAGGCACTCCAAGCATGAAACTACTATTACAGATTACCATCTTCAGTGCAGTTGCTTAGTTCACAGATATCAGTATATATAGTTAGTCAGGGTGAGTATCTTTCCAATTAACTGCTAGATTCAAAAATCTTCTGGAGATTCTCAGGATCATTGCCTTAACCATATCCTAGATATAACTGTATGGCTTGTCACTGTCATGTTTCCTAGCTCTTTTCCTTTGCCTCTCTTGATTAGTTAGTCCTCGAGAACCTGCTTTCCTTTTACTTGTATTATACCTTTTTATTTGTATTTCTTCTTTTGAGTTCTTATACTAGGGAGAATATATGATATTTACACATGTGTGTCTGGTTTATTCACATTTGTAGGGACTTCCTTCATCAAACACATGCAATATGGTCAAACAACTCAGGCTGTTTTGTACAGGGGAGCCCTAGACACCACCATAACTATGGTTCACTCTACTGTAACAGCAGTGCCCCATGATCTCCAAATCCAACATTTTACCATAAAACTGATTTTAAAGTGAAAAGCCCCAGGCTTCTCTACCAGTTAATGAAGAGTGTGCCTTTGAGCATTGCAAATTGCCTTCTAATGTCTCTCACATCTTTGCTCATAGATTGCCTTTAAATCCAGCTAAAATATGCACATGAGATACAAAATTAGGTATTTTATCTTATCACAAAGTTCTAAAATTAGCTAATAAATAATACTTGAGGTACTTCAAATATAGTAAAATAAATTTACAAATAGAACTCCAGCAGTTCAAAAATAATTTCCAAGTTGTAAGTAAATATGTTTAGGATTTAAATGTAAACACTTTAAGGTCAACATTGGTTTGTTTTCATTACAGTTTTATCTCTTGTACAAAATCTGGTTAAACATATTTCACAATTTGGATCCACTGTGCATCAGTGTATGAGAGTATCCAGTGGGTACACTTAGCATGATCAGGAGGCACAAGATGCAAATTTCTCTAAGTTTTGTCATTAATTTCTCGTGATATATTAATGTTGAACTGGAGATCATATCACTTATAATTCTATGATGAATGGACAAGCTGATTACAGAATATTTAAGGCCAATTTTAATAGTACCATAAGTTATTTTCTTTACAACTTACATTCCTTACAGTTTTCCTTGAGCTTTAGTATAATATGGAACTATCAATAAACACTAGATCTCAGTGCTCTTGTTTGGTAAGTGGTCCTTTAAATCTTATAGGAAAAATCTAGACCTCTGTTTTCACTTACCTCCAAACAGTAAAATCAACTAATGAAAACATCCCATTGTACGAACAGTTAAATACATTTTGTAATCTACAAAATTAGCAACACTATATTCAGGTAATAAAGACAAAAGAATTTCATTCTGTTCATTGTACTTGCCTGTGCTTCTTGAGGCATTTGAGCTGCATCCACTTTGTCAGCAATATAAGTTGCCAACTGCTTGTCAATGGATTCAAGGGACTCCTGAATTAAGTGTAAAGATTTTTCAATCTCTTGGGCAGACTGGATACTCTGTTCAAGCAACTTTTGCCTCCTCACAGCCTAAAGAGAAGAAATTAGATGGAATCTGTTAAATGTTTACCCTTTGTAGTTTTGCTGCAATCCTGCTGCAGAGTAAAAGAAGATTCTAGGCTCCTCCACAGTCACCTTTTTATAAGACAGATTTCGCAGCTTCCTGTCACTCATTCAGCTCCACGTACAAAAATTTGAAAAAACAATGAGAAAAAGCAGGACTAGAGGACTACGGATCTCTGCAAGGAAAAAAAAGTACCATGTACAGCAAGCAAAGAGGCAGAAAAAAAATTAGCAAAATTATCTCAGTCATTGCAATCTGTTGTTCTCAGGCTGAATGTTGTTCCTGATCTCATTACATAGTTCAAGAGATTTAGTTTACTTAGAATAGGGTCATCGTCATCACAATCCAATTCAAGACAGATAATCCACTTCCACCAGTGAGACACATATACAATCTGTTCAGAATTGGCTCCTTTTCAAAAAGAGAATTTTAGATAACCATCTGGTTAAAGATTTGTTTTGAATATTGTTTCAACCAGCTTTACATGGTTGTTTATCTCCTACCTTCTTTCACTATTTGGAATATGGAAATGATTTGTACAATTGGATTTGTGTTACTGCTGAAGTAGAACAAATAATAAGCAACCCTAATATAGCTGCAATTAATCTTGATTGTTACTATAAGTATGATTATGATAATTTAATACTTTTCAAGTATAAATAGCATGTTGAACAGATTGCAAAGTCTCCTTCCAAGGATCTGTTCACCTTTAAAAGAGTAATTAAAAAAATAATTGGTCAGGTATTGTATTAGGAATTAAGTCATGTCCATATAAAATATTTTTGTTATAAGAGGTATGGGTCCGCTTAATTAGTACAAAAAATTCTCCCCATCCAAAGACTGTGACTGATTTTAAAAATTATCATTGTTTTCATACTATACACCAACTACTATTATGTCCAACAATATACAGGTGTTGATTCTTAAGCCTCAATATCTTAAGATGCTGGAGATATCATTATTTTTAAATGATGCTAACCTACAACACATTGTTATTCAGATGAAAATAAAGCTTAAAGCATCTAGAAAAATATAAAAGCAGGCTAGAATTGAGCTTCTACAGAGTGGGAGGAGCTTTCCTATTGTTTTGACCTGAATCACAAAACTTAATTTCTTTAAGATTTTGTTCTAGGGATCTAGGATTTCTTTTCTCTTCATTTTATGCACCCGCTTCGCTTCAGGTACAAGTCCTGTGCTGGAAACTCTCAAAGCTACTCCTTGTTAGGTGCACATTTCCCTCTGGTTTCCTCCCTCGCATGTGCATTTCCTTACTGCGCATTTCTACTTGGTGGTCCTGCAGCACCTGAAATTTAACATAACCAAATAAGATTTTATCTGTAATTCACTTTATATCACCCCACCTTGCTTTTGCTCCTCTTCTCTGTATTTCATATTTTCTGTATTTGTATTCCTATTGTAATGAATAACCAAACAGTAACTTTAATTTGATGGTAATACTCATTGTCTTTATTAAGCATAAACCTGCTTGTTTCTACTTCCTCTGACATTGCCTGCACCATGTAGTGTCTATTGAATCAATTACCAAGCCTTTCTTTTATCTTTTAATTTTTAAAATTTATTTATTTATTTATTTATTTATTTATTTAATTTGGCAGAACCAGAGATTGAACTCAGGCCCTTATGCTTGCCAGGCAAGCGCTTATTCTACTGAGCTATCTCCCTGGCTTCTTATACCTTTTATATATGTGCTGGTTGCATTCAGTTTTTCACTCCTATTACTCAAGTTAAGGTAATTACTGTATCTTTCCTTAACGCAGTATGTGATTCTTGACTGACACTTACTTTGCTGAAATCTGCCTGCAAAACAACAATAGTGTGTTTTCCTGAAAACGAATTTACAACTCCATAGTGGCAATCAAGTAATGATTTTTCATTTTTTATTGGGACAAAGTCTTTATTCCCTAAAATTATCTAAAGAAATATGATGCATTTATGTTATACTTCTTGCAACTGTTTAGTACACCCTGCTTTAGCTATAAAATTTTTCTTTCACTTTGCAAATTCCTCTTGATAGTTGGCCTTAATTTTTTTCTTTTCCTTGGGAAATCCCTTACGAGGCTTTCTTTTATTGGCTAATTTACATTTGTTCTTGTCTGAGAAACATGGGTATCTCTTCCAGATGGCTATCTCTGACATTCTCTGATTTAAGGACATACTACAATTCCCTTGTGTTTTCTTTACATTTTTGAATGTCTTAACTTTTTATTTGGCAATACAAGTTGTATATATTTCTGATGCATGATGTTTTGATATATGGATGTGATAAAATGCCTAAAATAAGCTATTTAACATATGCATTACCACATCTACTTATTGTGCCCACGTTCTCTGTTACACTTCATATTTGTCTTAGCATGTACCTCAGTAATATATAATTCCCCTTTAATTGTGTGCATTTACTAGACTCTAAGCCATAATGAGGCCAGAGATTATGGCTGAATCATTCATTACTCAGGATTGGATTCTAGAATAAAGTCCAACGGCTTTGGTCATGACTGAATAAAAGGGAAAAAAAGGGTGTCTAATGGCAAAGACAAAAATGGATTTTTAAAAAGCAGTTTAAAAAAAAAGGCCATCAACACTGAAGGATGTATATTTAGAGAAGAAATTTCCCTTTTATTTTTGTAATAATGTTGCCAGAATAGGATGCAATATCATTTGGAGAAAACTTTACTCTTTTTCTATTAAAATATTTTATCCAAGGTCAGTGACCAAGACCTTGCCGTGTACTCTAATTCAAACATAGTTTTCCTTTACTTTTAGTCAAAATTTTAAGTAAAACTTACATCGTATAACAATTCAGGTAACAGTGCTCATAGTTATAATTTATTCTATCGCAGAGGCTGGTGTATTCTGTGCAGAATTCCTCTGGCGAAATGGGCTTCCAATGAAAAAATGCTAGCATATGACAGGTGGCTGGAGAAACCTTCTTTTCACAATACAAAGTAATTGCTTTGTCACACATTGCTTGAATTTGGTACTTTCTCTGTCTAAAGTCAAAGTCAGTGCACCTCTCAATGCATATCTGTGGACATCTACTATAACTTAATAGGCTATAATACAGCATAATATTAAAGCACATATCTAGCTTCAAATTTATTTTATTTATGATATTACAGGGCAGAAAAAGTAAGTAATTATGGAAGAGATGAGTTCAGGTGGGTTGGTTCCTTGCCTGGCCTGGCAGTCAATAAGACAAAATGTTTTATACAAATTCTTTGATGAATTCAGCCAACACAAAGACTTGGTATCAATTCAAGCTTGCAGAATTCTTTGAATTAGTCATAGCATAATTAGTCATCTTGTTTCTACATTTTAGTAGACAGATCCTGATAGGAATCCAGGCTAGTTTATTTTCTGGAACTCCTTGCTCACTTAACCCCTTGCAAGAAGATAGTCAGAAGTCCTGAATCATAATAAGATATTTGTAGTTGTGCCAACATACTTCCCAGTTGTTTTAAAATTTTATTTCATGTCTTTAGCTACTCCACTCAGCACTAAGAAGACCTATACATCTAGACTGAAACAGCAAATATGCTTGAATTAGAAAGTCCTCAAAGGGTTGGCAATCACAACAAAACTCTGAGAGTAAAAAAAAACCTGAATATTAATTATGGTTACCAAGAAAATATAGCATGAACAAATTTTATCCTAATTTAAAGAAAAAGAAAATTGAGTAAAAGATAAACACATAATAACATGAATTTGTATTTTTCCAATATGTTTCCAGTATAACAGATTAAAAAGTAATACCTTATTGGCAATAGGATGATATTGAACATCTCCATGGTGAAATAACTGTTTTATTTTCATTTTTGAAATATTTTGTCAACATTTGTGCTGTGGTATTAAAACTGCTTAAGGTGTAGCTTGTTTAAGAAACTCCAGGGGAACAAAGTCTTCACATGAAATAAACTGCTGAAAATTAGAACTAAAACCATCTACTTAAATTGTGAGTACATGATTAAAACTAGAGAAAATTACCCAAAAAGATTATACCGAAATGGCTTAAAGGAGGGCCGGCAAAATAGTTCAGCAGATTAAAGCCCTTGCATGCAGGCTCAGGGGTTGGGGGTTCGATCCCTGGGCCTGCCATGCTGGCCCTGCCCCTGGCACGTGCTGAGACAGCAGTGGAGACAGGGCGTGGTGGCACGCACCTGTAATCCCAGCTGTTAGGAGGCTGTCGACAGGAGGACCACTACACATCCAATCTAGTAGTGAGACCCTGCACAACCTGTAGACCCTTCCCAAAAAAATAGAAAAAGAAAAAAATGGCTTAAAGTAGCTAGATATTCTATACTATACTTAATACATTTATCATCAAAGAACCATTTTGCTTCATTTATGAGGTGATGTGTAAGCTGACGATTAAACATGAATTTGGAATATGGATTTGGCATTGCAATATGCAAATAAGATCTGCTGGGGAATTATTATTACTTTCTGTTTCTCTTACTGTTAAGATGCTTAGGGAGTAGTGAATACTTATTAAGAACATTGTATTTAAATTAGACACATGTGCTAAATAAAGGCATACACTTGGGAAACTTAACCCACAGTTTGAATTCATGAAAAACTGTACAAATATCTTCCTTTCAATATCAGTGAGGCCAAGGAGTAAACATGGGAAAGTTTCTTTCATTCATTCTTTTCTTACTGAGTGTTTTTATTAGTCATCTCTTCTGGAAACAGTTGTATGTGAAAAATTCACAAATCTGATAAATCTCATGGAATGGGATGAATGAGTATACCCAGCACGCACTTTGACTTAAGCATTTTCTTATTTAAAAAGTTTTGTTAGTATATATTAGTGATACATAATAAATTTATTCAATTTAGAGAAATGGTACATATACAAATATCTCACCTTAAATATATTCTCCTTCTCTTCCCTACCTTCCCCTCTACTTCTTTCCCCACATACCTTTGTGATCTCCACAATGAT